GAAAACATGAAATTAAAGGCGAACTAGGGGGATTTCGGCGAGCTCGACCCAGCTCGCCAAACTGCTCAACGTGCCTATTTTCAACCCCAACTCCAAAAATCAACCCCACAATTCCCGAAAACAAAATCAAACCACATACACACTCAATTAGGCTCAGAACCACTGGACCCATGCCACCGGGGTATTCAGACTTCCCCCGATTTGGCCAAAATTGTTCATTTGACGACTTTAGCCCTTAAGAATGACGTCAAACTCTCCATCGTTGGGTAAAGCACGTCATTTAGCACAATTTGGGTTACTCAGACGTCACCTGACTAGACTCAACAACAATTAAGCAAAACCTACAAGATTACGATTAATTTTAGAGCACGAAAATCAGGGAATCAACTATTTAGGCAAAATGGGCACGATATCAAAATTAAACTAGGCACACAAGCACACATATACAATTTCAGAGAGGCCCAGCACACATCAACACAATCTATAACAAATCATTTGAGTTCAATCGCTATTTACGAGTTTGGGGTTCATAAAAACCAACCTTTTATGCTGAAATACGATTTGTAAAGCTAGGCGGCAAAGATTTCCAACTCCGAACACAAGATCGACGACCAAAAAGTGGTAAAAAGCAAAAATATAGGATATATAGAGTACGGCTATGATTGTATAAAGTTAAAAAGTGAGGGAATGTGAAAGAGTTTGAAAATTTAAACCTTTGGCCTTTTAAAAACCATCCAGTTCGCACTTTTTCGACGATGTTAATTTTCCTCGCCAAATCACTCGGCGACACGCCCAGTGGTTACTTATGTCGCCAAGTTTTATAGGACCTCCAGTTAATTTGGGGGTCTAAATGGTTCGGCGAGTCGTCGATTTGTCCATGGGACAGCCAAATTTTACAGACTCCTTCTTTATGATTTCTTGAATCCAACGGCGGTCCAGGTCGGGTTCGCTGACCTCTTCGATGAGTCGCCAACTGGATTTTCAACTCGTCAACCTGCATATTTCAAGCCCATTCCACTTTTTCACCTGCACAATCAACACACGTTATTCTAAAATTCAAATAAAGCAATAAAAACTTGGGTTGCCTCCTAAGCAGTGCCTTAGTTAACGTCGTGGCACGACGCAAGTCCTTGCTCAAACTTCATTCATGGGGTTTGCCATAGTATCACTAGGCAACCCCCCTTGTTGTCTCGGGTTTAAATGAGAAGAAATTTGACCCATTTGGGTCTCCAACTGCTTGATAGAGATGGAATGAGAGGTCACCGTTTGGTTAAGGGTCGGTAGTTGTTCCTTCATGTTAAATTTTATCGTACCCTTCAACCTTGTTGAGAATACGAGAGAGCATATCCTCAGCCCGGCCACCCTTAGAATCGTTGGGCTTTTGACGTTCATGGGGAGGCACATACCTATCCTTCTCCCCTTCTCTTTCCTTCGAGGTATTGTTACGATCACGTCACTCGTTATCACGGTCTCTCCAGCCCTAATCTTGGTTACCACCCAACCTTGGGTAGTTTGCATGATAATCTCCTCCTTGGTTGGCTAGGAAGTTCACTTCCTCATTGTACAGTGCTTCGAACTTAGCCTCATCGGGGCTTACACAACCCACACCTACAACACTGACACTCTTAGAACCAACCCCCATGACATTTTTGGCTAAAATGTCATGTTGGGTCATCATCTTTGCCATGTTCTGGTCCCTCTCTTGATCTTTTTCGAGCTGCTACTTTGTTAATTTATAAGTGAGAGGGGAGACCTGATCTTCACGGGTGTACCACGCCTGGTTAATTTTGGTTATACCATCCAAGAGATGGGCTGCTATAATGTAAGGTTGTTGCATTAAACCTCCCGAAAAAAAGTTGATCATCCACTCCCTTGTTCACCGAATCAAGCCATCGGTAAAAGTATTGCAGCAAAACGTTGTTAGGCAATCCGTGAGTTCGGCATTGCAGCACCAACTTCTTAAACCTTTGCCAAGTCTCATGGATTGGCTCATCCTCCAAACACTTGAAGCTTTGGATTCTATCCCTAAGTGTCATCATCTTCTAAGGAGGGAAAAAATGCAGTTGGAATGCGGTGACAAGCTCTTCCCACGAAGTGATAGAATCTCTTGGCAACTTGGCCAACCACTTACACGCTTCTCCCATTAGAGAAAATGGGAACAACCTCAACCGGACCGACTCGTGGGATATGTTCTTAAAGGAGAATGGCCCGCAAACATCAACAAAATTCCTTATATGCTCATGGGGATCCTCATGATCCAACCCACCAAACAACCCTTTCAATTGTAAAAGCTGCAACATGGTGCTTGTAATATGGAACATAACGTTCCCTTGAGCCGGAGACAAGCGAATGGCACCAACTCCACCCACTAGATTTGGATCATTTATATATATTCGGTTCATTGACATCATTGAGGTTTCAGATGTCATCTTAGTGGCCCACTTGGCTACCATTGCTTCCATTGACACTCATTTCCTCTGTTTTAGCAAGCAACACGAAAACCAAAACTAAAAGTAAATAGATTCAACTATGACTAAAATGAACAAAATTCAACTTCACCAAAAGAATCACAAACAACACCACTCCCCGGCAGTGGCGCCATTTTGATATATTGAGAGTAACGCAATCAAAGACATTGTCACACCCCTTTTTCGCGCACGTGGAAGGGGTTTTCCAATTAAAGTGACGGTATTGATTAGGGATTATTTTATTTTTCATAGTCTCCACTTGGAATTGAGTTATGGTGTTCCAAGTCACCTTTTTGTTTAATCCCTAACCAAAAGAAACTAACTCTTTATTTTTGGTCTGCGAACTAGAAATTCGGGTTTGGACTTCTGTTGATCGAGGGGAAGGTATTAGGCATCCCTCGAGTCCCATGGTTCTAGCACGGTCTCTTTAATTGACTTATACTTACTTTTAAATATTTTTGGATATATTTTTATAGGCCATGATTTGCTCATATTTATTATATTGTTGAACTTTTTATTTTGTCTCAACTTAGATGTGTAACCACATTCTTGGTCTTTACATTTAGAGGCTTGACTACCTTCTTTTCATCGCGCTTAATATTTTTATCTATAAGTCTCTACTTTAAATTAATAAAACTTAATTATATTATTGGACAAGGTGCGTCATCGCATCCTTGAGTTAATTTTTAAATGTTTCAAAAAAAGATGTGTAACCACATTCTTAATTGAAACAAATATTTTTAACAGTCCTAAAACTCATATAGTCATTAAAAAAAAATATTTTTTCCTTTATACATAAAACCAAATAAAGTAAAATAAATCTAAATGTTGAGGATACAATATATAATTCTGACATCATTTCTATATCCTTTGATTTTATATTAATAATAATAATTTATTTAATAATTTTATTTTAGCATAACTATATCTACTTTATCATTATTATCTAAATCAAGAAAAGAACAATGTCATGACCCGTTCATTTTTAAGAGCAACTAGCGAATAGAAATAAATAAAATAAAAAGTAATCATTATTAAAGGTACCTTCATTCATTAAATAGATATATAATAGCTAACAAATTGTTCATTTCAATCAAATTATGAATTACAAAAAAAACTATAATAAAACTAATCATATAATTACATCAAATTCCATAAATAAATTAAAGATTTAAGGTAAAGTTATACCTCAAATGAAGTAAATAAGTACCGCAAAACCTTAATCAAAGCTCGATTAGAACACCCACAAGTTTTTTTTAGGTTGTTTCTGATGGTATATGTGTTTGTGTTGATATGAAAATAATGGGCAAGGAAGAATATATGTGAATGTATGATTATTGTTTGAAAGAAGAATAAAATAAAATGAAAGTGTTTTCTTCTTCTTCTTCTTTCCGCGTAGTAAAGCATTGTTTTGGATGAATTTTGTTTTTCTCTTTTTTGCGTGAATGTGTATGTGTGTGCAGCGTGTGTGTGTTTATGCTTGTAGGGGTAAGGTTGTGTTTCTGATTGTTTCCCGTGTGGGTGTGTCTAGTGTAGTCTGTGTGTATTTGTGTGGGTAGTATATAGGAGTGTGTAGTACGTGTGTGTAGGGGTGTGTAGTGGTGTGTTGTTGTGTTAGTGGGTAGAGATGTGAGGGATGTGTTGGGTGTACGTGGAGAATGGGTAAGGTTGTGTGTTTTTGGTGCAGAATTTTGGTAGTGTGAGGGATTGTGAGGTCGTAGTGTGACGGAGTGTGGGATAATGGGTAGGTTTTTTTTTTTGGTTAATAAATAAAAATATAATAATAATAATAACTAAGAAAAATTAAATAGCTAGATCAAAAAAATATAAAAATTAAAATCACTAATTTAATATTAAAACTTTGAATAAATTAAAAACAAAATGTACCTTAAAGTGTGATTCTATTTTTGTAGTTTTCATATCTTTTAAAATAAAATTAATAAAATAAGATTAAAGTCAAAATATTTAATTTATATTTTAAAAATATTTAAACTCTAAGGATGGTGTAAAATTTTAGGTTCGGTCAAAAATTACGTGTCTACAGTTTGCCCCTCTTCGACAGGAAACACAAAGTGTTTTCGGACAAAGAAGTATACAATGCGACAAATTTTGATCGGACTCTTATTTGAAAGGAAAAAAAATATGCGACCGAGTCCTTGTTTTGGACGTCCTACATATCCCGGGTTATAAGGGAATCAGATCACGTGTAGTTCAAGGAGATGAGGTGATGAGTTGAAAGTTAAGTGAGGTTCCATCGAGGCTCCAGGTCGCGGCTCTTATCCTTACATAAAAGAATGAAAGCTAATAGTCAAAAGAAAAATAAAAGTACAACCTCTTATCTATGCAGATTCTCTTGAGTTTTCACTTAAGTCTTGAGTTTGAGACATCACCTTGATTTTAGTGAGTATCTTGATCTTGAATGGATTCGATGCTTAACTTGCCACTTAGAGTGAGTTTTTGACACTCTTCAAAATGAATTTGAATTTCTTGAATGACTGCATGTTTTCTTGATCAGAATTTGAATAGAAATAAATGTCAGGAAGTGAGGTTGCTACATGCATTGAAAAAGTTGATTCTGGCTATCATGGGATTGATCATTCTGAAAAGAGTTGAAACTTTGTTCTTGAATTTCAAATCCATGTTTCCCTCGAGGAAACCTGAAAACCATCACAAACAAAAGAAATAAACAAAAAATTTACCCCAGTTTTCACTAGAAAAATTTTGTGAGTTATTAGCAAATATAAATTAAAAAAATAAACTCAGACTAGAAAGTGCTTATCCTAGAAGAAAGTAACCGAATCCCATCATGTAGGAGGGTCCTGCTAATCCCATTTTTCAGGAGGGTCCTGCTAATCCCATTATGTAGGAGGTCCTACTAATCTAAATCCCATTGTCCAAGAGGGTCCTGCTATACTAATTATCATTGTCCAGAAGGGTCCTGCTACACTAAATCTCATTGTACAAGGAGGGTCCTGCTACACTAAATCTCATTGTCTAGGAGGGTCCTGCTACGCTAATTCCCATTGTCCAAGAGGGTCCTGCTAATCCCATTTTTCAGGAGGGTCCTGCTAATCCCATTTTTCAGGAGGGTCCTGCTAATCCCATTTTTCAGGAGGGTCCTGCTAATCCCATTTTTCAGGAGGGTCCTGCTAATCCCATTATGTAGGAGGTCCTACTAATCTAAAATCCCATTGTCCAAGAGGGTCCTGCTATACTAAATCCCATTCTCCATGAGGGTCCTACTATACTAATTCCCATTGTCCAGGAGAGTCCTATTTCACTAAATCCCATTGTCCATGAGGTTCCTGCTACACTAATTCCCATTGTTCAGGATGGTCCTGCTACACTAATTCTCATTGTCCAGGAGGGTCCTCCTACACTAAGTCTGATTGTCTAGGGCGGTCCTGCTACTCTAATTCCCAATGTCCAAGAGGGTCCTGCTATACTAAATCACATTGTCCAGGAGGGTCCTGCTACACTAATTCTCATTGTCCAGGAGGGTCCTGCTATACTAAATATCATTGTCCAGGAGGCTCCTGCTATACTAATTCCCATTGTCCATGAGGGTTCTGCTTCACTAAATCCCATTGTCCATGAGGGTCCTGCTACACTAATTCTCATTGTCCAGGAGGGTCCTGCTATACTAAATCCCATTCTCCATGAGGGTCCTACTATACTAATTCCCATTGTCCATGAGGGTTCTGCTTCACTAAATCCCATTGTCCATGAGGGTCCTGCTACACTAATTCTCATTGTCCAGGAGGGTCCTGCTATACTAAATATCATTGTCCAGGAGGCTCCTGCTATACTAATTCCCATTGTCCAGGAGAGTCCTATTTCACTAAATCCCATTGTCCATGAGGTTCCTGCTACACTAATTCCCATTGTCTAGGAGGGTCTTGCTATATTAAATCCCATTGTCCAAGAGGGTCCTGCTATACTAATTATCATTGTCCAGGAGGGTCCTGCTACACTAATTCCCATTGTTCAGGATGGTCCTGCTACACTAATTCTCATTGTCCAAGAGGGTCCTGCTACACTAAATCCCATTGTCTAGGAGGGTCCTGCTAAACTAAATCCCATTGTCCAGGAGGGTCCTGCTACACTAAATCCTTTTGTCTAGGGGGGTCCTGCTATACTAATTCCCATTGTCCATGAGGGTCGTACTATACTAAATCCCATTGTCCAGGAGGGTCCTGCTACACTGATTACCATTGTCCAGGAGGGTCCTGCAACACTAAATCCCATTGTCCAGGAGGGTCCTGCTACACTAAATCCCAATGTCCATGAGGGTCCTGCTACACTAAATCACATTGTCCAGTACGGTCGTGCTACACTAAATCCCATTGTCCATGAGGGTCCTGCTACACTAATTTCCATTGTCCAGGAGGGTCCTTCTACACTAAATCCCATTGTCCAGGAGGGTCTTGCTACACTAAATCCCATTGTCCAGAGGATCCTGCTACACTAAATCACATTGTCCAAGAGGGTCGTGCTACACTAAATCCCATTGTCCTGGAGGCTTCTGCTACACTAATTCCCATTGTCCAGGAGGGTCCTGCTATACTAATTCCCATTGTCTAGGAGGGTCCTGCTACACTAAATCCTTTTGTCCAGG